AAATACATGTTTTTTAAAATGAATTTAATTAAATATATTCTCACATGGCTAAGTAAGATAAATTTTGTGAATATGTAAAAACACCTAATGAAAATTTTACTCACAATAGATTATGCGACGTCTGACTTTTTCGCGCAAAATTCAATTAGTTTGGAATGTCAGACACAAAAACTTTGTTTTTTCTCTAATATATTTTCCATACTATCAGAATAAATGTGTTCCTAGGGCTTTTTTTGATCTCAGCTTTTTTTGATTTTAGAATAAAACAACACAATATCGCATAATTTTAGGGGCTTTTTATTTATCGCTAAGTCATTCTAAATAATAAGTAAATTTAGTTCAAGTTAATATTCCAATATTTACAGTTGCAATATAATAAAAAAGATATGTTTAATGTTGAACTTTTTATTTAGTTATTTATTTTTTACCTACTTTTGTTATAAAAAGACTTAATTACCCCCATCATTAAAATAATTTGTTTTGAATATATTTTGACATGATTATTTAAACAATGTTTTTTTGTTTGAATTCCCGAACTTTATGCAAAGCAAATTCAGACGAAATACTGTCTAATCAAATAAAAATGCTGTTACTAATTTTATAAAGGTAATAAATATAAAACAATTTTTTAACAGAATCTTGGTTGAGATAATAAATATTTCATCATTTATTAACATTTAATACACCGCAATAAAAATTTATAGCAACAAAATATTTAAGATATTTAATATCTTTTTAAATGTTAAAACTAGAAATAAATTGCTAAACAAATAATGAAAAAATTTATGAATAAAAATAAATAAAAATTTTCCCAGAGTTTCATTTGTCAAAAGTCTACCGTGACGTCAAATACTAAAACTTTTACGAATTAAACGCGCTTCAAAAGAATTATTGAAGTCTGTAGATTGCATTGTGTAATTTAAAGACTCCAATTTTTTGAGTTAAATGGAGAAGGCAAGCTTTGACTAAAACAACAAGATTAGTTTTTCTCGGTATGTATTCATTGTTTATTTTTAATCAAAAAAACTTGATTCAAACCTTTTTTTTCAACATTATCTTTAGTATGAACACTAATCAGTGTTTATTCATACTCATGATGAACAAATTCACCTGCTTGTTCTGAGTAGATTCCAATTATATTATCAGTATTGGTACTTTTTAGAAATGGTACAATATGTTTAGTTGCAATATGAACTTTTCATGTTAAATTTAAAAAAATATTTTCAAAGTAATGATTAATATACTCCATTAAATTAACTTAAGTCTTAAATACTATAACAGCAGATTCAATATCATCAATAATTTTTTTCTCCAAAGGTAGCTTGCTTTACTGCTTTATACTTTTTTAAACATTCAATAACTGGAAATAAATCAAATCATCCTTGATCAGCGATATCATGAACAAGAACATCTAACTTATCTAAAAGTTGGTTGGCATTATCGCCATCAAACCCAATCCCATGGTAACCTCCAAAAAATATATAATTTCAGTTTAACCATTGTACAAAGCCAGGCCATAGTTTTGATAAAAGTTTTCCAAAAATTGTAACTATTCCAATTAATGTATATAACTCAGGTGGAACTAAATTTTCTATAATTGTGTCCACATCCTCTTCAAGATATAAAACTCTTGGATTAATTACAATTTTATAATCAGCCATCTTTGATTTTGGTTTTCCAGCTTTTACGTGTTTACTTTATTGATAATCAAGAGAACCAAGAGTTTGTTTTACTCTATCATCCAAAAGACTCTCTCCTTTACACCACAAACAAATATATTTTTCAGCATGGCTTGTAATGCCAAACATTGAGTTTGCACACTTTAAATCGAATGGAACAGAATACTTAATATTTTGAAGATTAAGAGGATCAACTAATTTCCTTAGATTTCCATTGTGTTTAGATATTCCTTCTACAATAGGAACAAAAAAAACTAACTTCACTCCAAGGTCAGGTTGGTTGCTAGTTTTATCATATGGGTTAAAAACGTTCATTTTGGTTTTAAAAAAACCTTGACCAGAATCCAAAGCAACCCTTAAAATTGTATAGAGGATCAATATTTCTTCAGTGATTATAACATGTATAAGTTCATCAATATTGTTTATATAAACCATTGATTTTACTATATCACCAGCTTCAAAAAGTTCTTCTTCTTTGCATAAAAAATATTCATTCATTTCAGCTTTTAAAGTTTCTAATTTTTCAAATATATTTCCTTCAGTACTACTTTGAAACCCAAGATTCTTTCTAAATATAAAACACATTTTTTTGCATTTTAGTTTTTAGGATACTTAAGCAACACATTCTGCACTTGCTGATCCCAATACAATAAAATTTTAAATTAGAATTCCATTTAAGTCATTAAAATTACAAAATAACTTTGTAAATTTGTAGTAATAACAAAATAAATTTGTTGGCAGTTTTTGTTTTTAAACACTATTAGTTGTTGTACACCAGAGAATGTTTAAAAACAAAAACCGCCAACAAATTAAAGTTACTTTGTTGAAAATGGCAAATAATTTATATAACTAAAAAGTATTAATTTTATTTTTTGATTTTCATACATTTTTCCACTCAACTGGAGGTTTTAAGTAATCAATTATTTATTATTCTATATGTAACTAAGTTTATATAAAATAAAATCTGGTGTGGGGAGATTTCAAATCTGGCGCTTAATGTGGTTCACAGTGCCATATTTATCACCAAAACATTTCTCCAGAAAACAGATGCTGTTTACTATTGCTAGAAGCCATTGTAGAAAGGTTTTGTCTAACACCAAAACTCGCTATTCTTAAGTCACATATTCTCGTATTTCATTTTAAAAATTAGGCTCCTGAGACTTATAGAGAATCTTTAACAGTGTCTATAATAAGGGCAATTTTGTTATTCCTCTTCATTTGCATTGTTCAGATTTTGTTACCTCACCTAAAAGACAAAGCTAAATTGTTTGCTAAGAACTTTTCATCAATGTCATCTCTTGGTTCCACTAATCACATCCTACTGACAAACAGGTTGATTTATTGCATTACATTTGTATTTCTCCAGCTTCTGTTAAGTGATTTCCTGCTTAGACTTTTCTTCAACTTGTACTCCATGATACATCTTTAAGATTATTGAATCTTTCCTTCCAATCATAGTATAAAAGTTGTCCTCGATGGACAGCACTCTTCTTCACTTCCTGTAACTTCAGGGGTTCCTCAATGTTCTATCCTTAACTCTATACTTTTTTGTGGGATTGTTTGCTGATGATACTACCATTTATTCTTGCCCCAATTCTTAGTGGCTGGTGAACTTTAACTCAGATAAAACTCATTTTTTTTCAGCTAATTGATATCACAATAATCTAGATTTTTTATATTTATAAATGGTAATGTACTCGAGTCATCTTTCCTTTATCTAGGATTAACTCTTACTTCTGATCTTTCTAGGAAATCATATATGAAATCCATTGCAAAATTAACATCTGTTGAGGTTGCGTCTCTTTATTGTGTTTGCCATTTTCTTACACCGGATTCTATTCTTTATCTCTATAAATCTCTTATCCGTTCTTGTATGGAATGCTGTTGCCATATCTGGAGTGAATCTTTGAATGATGTCTTTTCTCTTTTAGACAAGGTACAAAACAAATTGTAAACATAGTTGGACCTGCTTTTGCAGCCAACCTTCAATAATTGTTCACATTGTTGTAGTGTTGCATCTCTTTTTCTTTTCTACAAATGCTATAATGGGCAAAGCACTAAAGAGCTAGTGTCTCTTGTGACACTTACTAAAATTCATTTTCATATTACTTGTCATTCAATTAAATCTCATCTGTTTACTGTGACTGTTATTAAGTGCTTCAAAAATTCTTTTTCGTTTAGTTTTTTTTCCTCAAACATCAGTTCTTTGGAATTTGCTCCTATCATCTTGTTTTCTTGATTCATATAGTTTGGGACCTTTTAAATCAGGTTGTTACAGGAAGCACATGTGGTTGCATTGGACCACTATTTACGTGTTTTAAAAATGCTTTGAAAGAACTAAGCGAAACTAAGTAAAAAAAATAAAAAAATAAACAGTACTAAAAAATTTTAAAGAAACTTTATCGAAAAATAAAATAAAATACAATTAAATTAAAAAAATAAAATCATTTAAAAGCTTAAAAAAAGCTCTGGGCAAAGTTTCATATTCTAAACATAATTATAAACACTTGGTATTAATTTTTGTTTTTGGTTACTGTAAAGAAACATTTATTAAAAACTTTATTTGTAAGGAAAATTTTTTTTTACTAACCAAAGAATAAAATGATTTTAAAAAAAGAGTTGACAAATTATTTATTTTGTAAATGTGTTATTATTTAACTAGCATGCATTTTTTTGTAAAAAATACATGCTAGTGCTAAATATTTATATATATATATATATATATATATATATATATATATATATATATATATATATATATATATATATATATATATATATATATATATATATATATATATATATAAATTATATAAAATACTCTGATAATTTAAATAAAATGTGCTTTTAGAAAAACACATTTTATTTTAATTGTCAAAGAGTATTTTATATAATTTTTATTCAAATATTTAAAAACATTTGTTGGAAGTAATTTGTTATTATTTATAAATTATTTTGAAATATCAAAGTTATAAAAAAAATTTAAGTTATATTATATAATTTTTTGAGTTTTAATAAATATTTTGATAAAACAATAAACATTGATCAAAGGTTATTTGTTACTTTATTTAAAAAAGTTTTGCATAATATAAAATCGTTACAAAAAATCAAAGTTCTGAAGTTATTTATTCCTTATGTAAAATATATATGTTTAAAATAGTTTCTTTTGAGACTTCGAGTTTTATTTTTGTAAAGTTTTATTTTTATTGTTTTAGAGTTTTCGTTTATTAAGTTTTTTTTTTTCATTTTATTTTCTCTTTAGTAAGGTGTAACTTTTATTTTTTTATATTTAATTTTAGCTTTTTTTTTTCCATTTTTTAGTTATGATCTGTAGTCTAGAGATGTCTAGTAAAGAATTTCAAAGTCTTTCGCTTAAGTATGAACAAATAAATGCAGAAAGGAACAAGTTAAAGCAAGATTATGAGGAAATTGTTTTATTGAGAGAGCAGGAAAAACAGGAGAATAGTAAATATAAAAAAGATTCTTTGAATGCCAAAACATTTGACGATCTCTCAAAAGAAAATGACAGTTTAAAGTTTAATTTTGATGATACTCAGGAACTTTTTTTGTTTAAAAAATGTAAACATTTAGAGGAAGACAATTCAAAACTTAAGCAACAATACGATGTGCTTAAGGCTGATTATGACCTAATAGTTATTGAGAGAAATGCGTTAAAGCAACAATGTGCTGCTGCAATATGTGGTTATGAGAAGGCCTTACGTGATCGTGATGATGCCATGCATGATGTTTTACTACACAAACAGCAATGGGTTGCAGCTGCTCGTGAACTTGAGCAGGCTGTTAGATTAAAATTACAAATGAGCAAAGATATAATTAAGTTACGAGAGGAACGCAATTCTGCCTTGCATGAATATAAACTTGTGATGAGTGAAAGAGACACAGTTCACCAAGAAATTGAAAAGTTACAACACGATTTAGGAATTACAAAAGAAGAAGCCAAAAAACTTATTGACGATAAAGAAAAAGTATTTCTTGAAAAAGAAGGTCTTCAACATGAAATTATTGCTGTATTAGCTGATAGAGATCAAGCTTTTAAAGAAGTGCATGATTTACGTGTTCGGTTGCAAATTGCACTTAAAGAAAAGGAACAATCAGTAAAGCAGCTTGAAGAACAACAACAGGATTATGAAATGCTTAAGCAAGAGCGAAATGCTGCCCAGAAAGAGCGTGGGGAGGCAATCATCCATAGAGATAGAATTTTAAAAGAATGCTTTGAAGTTAAAAATATTCTTACTCTTATCGAGCAAGGTAAAGGTGATACAGAAAACTTAAAAAAACCGTTTGATGAGCTCTCAAATGAGTTGACTAAAGCATGGAATATTGCTGAAGTCTCAATGAGTCGTCGTGATTGGGCTTTTAGTGTTCGAGATAAAGTAGTGCGTGAGCTAGAAGATTATAAAGAAAAGTATAAACAGTGTATGCACAAAAATGAGTTGCTTCAGGATGAATTGAAGGAATTTAAATCGGAGTATGAACTAAAGAAAAAGTGGTTTGCATCTATAATTCAACAACTTCAGCTGAGATCTCCTGTTGGTTTTGATCTTAGTTCAGTCCACTTGCAGTCAAGTCAAGATTCTGCTATCGACACTGACTCTCTGGTAAGGTTAAAATATTTTTATACTTTTTTTTTTGAGTTTACTTTATGCTAGGACATTTTTGACTTTTAAAATTGTTTTAAATTTAATTGTTAAATTGCTTAAAATTTTACTTAACTTTTACTAAAATTACTTAAAATAATAAAGAAAAATTATAGTAGACATTGAAATAGTTGTGACATACTAACATTTAAATTAATCACTAATAATAATTACTAAAGCTTTGTTTACTAAAAAATGATGTCCAAAAATGACAGTACTTTTTAGCAGTTATTATTTGTTTGGTAAAATGAATGCTCAGTGCAATGCTTGTAGAAAGTTGCTTAAAAAATTAAAAATTTTTGCATAAGACTTACAATACTTGAAAAAAGTTTTGTATAGCGCATACATCTAACTTATAAAAGTTTTGTATAGCGCATACATCTAAATTAAAAATTACAATGACAAGAATTTCGATGATTACTTGGAACTATTATTGCAATTATGTTAAAAATATATTATTATTATTTACTTTTACTTTAAACAGAAAGTAATGTAGTTGTTTTAAATAAAAAGTATTGCAATAATGAAAGTTACTTAGTAAATAATGAATAATTATGATCAAGATTTTAGTTCTTAAAATTCAAAAGAGTTTTCAGAAAATACAAAATAACAAATAAAAATATGTTCAATTTGCTAGCAAAGTTTTGAAATCTAAATCAAAACTTATTAATTTTTTTGATGCTAACATAGAAGTTATTTGAATAGTGATGATTTAAAAAAAAATTGTAATAATCAAGGTTAGGGTCAAATACAAATTTGTACTTGGTAAAAATAAGTTAATTTGGCATATTTGTATTGTATTTGATTAAAAAATTTCTTAAGTATTTTATTTGTATTTGGTTGAAATGTTTTTACAATTCCATAAGTTATTTTATATTTACAATTCCATAAATTAGGTTAACCAATATTTTTTTGGGAAATATCTAGAGTTTATTTATTTATTTTAATTTTTATTTTTAACACTAAAATAAATTGAAAATTTGTTTTTAAGGGGTATTAGTTAGAAAACTAGTTTTCATTTTTCTTTTTAGTAGACCATTTTCAGTCTTATCTTAAAAAAGTCTTTATACTTTTTTTTTAACCTAAAGTACAAATATTTGTATTTGTATTTGGAAATCTAGAATTAACGTATTTGTATTTGAACAAGCTTATGTGTCTATGTGTAATTTATTGCAATTTGAATTATAAATAATTTTTTTTTAGTCCTATCATATTGAAACTGTTGTTCTTGAAAAGGTATGTCTTTTAAACTATTATTTGTCCGAAATCAAGTTTTTATAATTAATAAAACTAAATAGTTTAGAGCAGAATGGAAAATAGTGGCATCCTTCAAAAGATAATGGTGTGATCATGTGAAAGGACATTAACTACCAAACATTTTGTCAAACATTTTGTCAAACATAACTGGTATTTAGTTGCCACCAAATATTTATATAGGTTGTTAAGGCACTGTTGATTGGATATTATTTCCACATATCTTCAAAATTCTTTTTCATTGTGGTAATAGTAAATCTAGCAAAAGGAGTCTAACTAAAGTAACTTATATAGGCTTATAATTATTTAAAATCAAAGCAAGAAATATTATATTGTATAATGTGTGGCAGCTAGTCTTTTGGGACTTTTTTTTACATTTTTAAAATATTTTAAGTTATAAAAATTTATTAATTGGCATGACTCTGTTTAACTGATTACTCTAAACATTATTACATTAGTTAACTGATTACTCTAAAAGTAAAAAATTGATAATCTTAGGCAGATATTGGGAATAGTGAGTGTACCTGAGAGAGTGTGTTAAGGAAATTTGGGCATAATAAAACTAAATTTTTTTCCGCTAATTGTTATCACAACAATCTAGATCTTCCTATACTTATGAATGGTAATGTACTCGCTGAGTCATCTACCCTTAGTCTTCTATGAATAACTCTTACTTCCGATCTATCTTAGAAACCATATAACAAATACGTTGCAAAATTAGCGTGTGTTACTCGTCATTCAATTAAGTTACTGTGACTGTTCCTAAGTGCTTAAAAAATTCTTGTCTAGTTTTTTTCCTCGAACAGTTTTTTCTTATTTGCTCCCTTCTTGTTTTCTTGATTCATATAATTTGTAATCTTTTAAGGCGTCTGTTAGTCATTATCTTGCTTTAAAAACTTCATCTTTTCTCTAGTAACTTCCATCTCTAATAGTGGTTGCTTGCAGCCTTGTTGGAAGTGAATATGTTTAAAAAATATATATAGAGTGTAAAGATCCAGATAATTGGTTGAAAAGGTTAAGGAGAGATAGTGCTCAAGGTTGGGATACTAGAGAATGATCTAAGAAATAAAGAATGAGAGGAAATATTGAACGAGGAAATGTCCAATAGGAAGTATAGGAAATGTCCAACCTGTACAACAATGTTGTTAATCTAAATAAAGCTTTTCAAAAAAAGCTTCTCAAAAAAAAAAAAAAAAAAGTAATAAATAGAATAAAATATATAAAATAAATAATATAAGTAATGTGTTGTTGACATAAGTAAAATTTTTTTTGTTGCAGAATATGGAAGATAAAACATTTGGCTTTAATATTGGAGGAGGGAGTGATGCTCCATTAACTCCCCATGATTCTTCTGTATTTGTTGTGGCTGTGCACCAAGGAACTGTTGCTGCTAAAAAATTAAAGTATTTTTATTTACGTTTACAAAGTAGTTGATTATTTAGTAATTTAATAATAGTTGTTCATGTAGTAATTATGTTTACAAATTAGTTATTCTTGTAGTAATTATGTTTTCAAAGTAGTTTGTTCATGTAGTAATTATATTTACAAAGTAGTTGTATGTGTATTAATTATGTTTACAAAGTAGTTGTTCATGAAGTATTTATGTTTACAAAGTACGCAAGCCTTCCCAGGAAAGGCGTGTTGTTTTTTGTCTTGTGTGACCAGACGCGAGTATATTATTTTAGACAACTTGAACAGGGCTGTTTGCAAGTTTTATAATGATGCTGAAAAAGTTTCAAAAACAAAAAAAACAAAACTAATAAAATAAAAAGAGATTAAAATAGAAAAAAATAAAAAACAATTTATTAATTTAAATAATTTGTCTACTGTTTTTATTTTTGTTTCTTTGGAGTGGTTGTTACATTCAGCAACAAAATTAGATAAGGCGAAGCAAAAAAAAAACAGTTTGAAGACTACAATAAAAAGAATGATTTTCCTTTTCCTTAATTTTTTTTAAAACGATAGCAAAAATACAAATTGTAATGTGTTTATAAAATTTATTTGTATAATTTTAATGTAACAACAAGGGTTGAATTAAGCGAATGCGAAACACAAAAACTGGAAAATATCTAGTATTCAAAATTTTAGTTTATACAAAACTGTGTTCCTTGTTTTTAAGGGGAGAATCAACTTAAATTTGTTAGCAAAAAAATAAAACAATAAACTTATGATTACAAAAGTAATAACACTCTTGTCACTAACTGCATTACAAAAGTAATAACACTATAATAGTGTTATTACTTTTATAACGCACTTATAACTTTTAAAATTCATTCTTTGTTCAAGCAACATGCGGTAGTGGTGTAGTGGTAAGAGCGCTCGCTTTGTAAGCGAGAGGTTCGGAGTTTGACTCCCACCACTTCCCTGGAAGTACCGCACTCAACTTAATTTTTCCTTGCAGCGGCCTTGCTTGTCAAGGTTCGTGTTTCGGAGTTATAGAGTTGAGAGAGGGTTGTACCACAATTTACAAAAAAAAAAATAAAAAAATAAAATAAAAAATGAGTAGCCTCCTCAACAGTAGTGGGTCCTCAGGCCTTGGGGAGGTGAATAATTAAAAAAACAAACAAAAAAAAAAAACATTAGTATTCCCAAATTTTAAATGAAGTAGAAAAATATCTAGAAGAATAAAGTGGATGTTCAAATAATATTGAAACTTAAATAACTTATAAAAACGTGACAAACAACTTAATAAAAACGTGTCATATTAAAAGTTTAGCATTATGAAAAACGTTACTAATGGATCGTAAAAATGCGCGTTAATTTTAAAATTAACCGATAAAAATTTTTTATTGGTTGATTTTAAAATTAACGCGTGTTTTTATGTAACGATTTTCATAATGCTATACTTTTTATAAAGTACTTTCTTATAACGTTGTTTAAGTGATCTGTGAAAGTTCCTGAAATTTTTAATAATATTTGAATATCCGCTTTATTTTTTCTAGATGCTTTTCTACTTTAATAAATGTTTGGAATTAATAATGTTGTTTGAACAAAGAATGAACTTTAAAAGTAATAAGTGCTTTATAAATGTAATAACACTATTATAGTTTTATTACTTCTATAATGCAATTAGTGACTAAAGTGTTATTACTTTTGTAGTCGTAAGTTTATTGTTTTTGTTTTATTTTTTGTAACTTTCTTGCTAGCAAACTTTTAATAATTTGCTCCTTATAAACAAAGTACACAGCTTTGCATGAACTAAAATTTTAAAGACCTAATATTTTACCAGAGTTTGCAAAATTGCGATCGTATAATTTAACTCTTGATATAAACTTGTTACGTTATAATTATAGAAATATATTTTACAAACAGATGACGATACATTATTTCTCTTTCCTCTTTAAAAGAAAAAACACATAAAACATGGGAAATTCATCCTTTTTAATGCCTATAAATGTTTTTTTTTTTTTTTTGCTTTGACTTATTGAACTTTGTTGCCAATAATAATAACCACTAAGAAAAAACAAAAATAAAAACAACACACAAATTATTTAAACTATTATTATTGTTTTCTATTTTAGTTTACTTTAATTTCTTATATAGTTATTAAATTTAAAACAATTTTTCAGCAACGCATATAATAAAACTTGCGCAAGCCGCCGTGATCACGTTCTCTAACTTGAAAAACATTTTCGTGGGCGTATGAGACAATTACTACATGAACACTACCTCACGCCTTTCCTGGGAAGGCTTGGTAGGTGTTCATGTAGTAATTGCATATGAAATCTATCAAATCTACAACAAAAACAAAAATCTAAAAACAAAAAGAAGAAAAAATGTGTAGTTATGAAAAAATTATTTATTTTTATATGATGCGTTACTATATTTTAACAATCCAATCCTTGTGTTCTCTTCAAAATTTGAGATATGAATATATTTTTTTAATGTAATAATTTTTTAATATTTTTTTTAATGCAGCACATTAAGATTGAAGTCCTTGGCAGGGTGTCTTCAAATTGTGCAGGCACTTTGGAATCGTCCATAAAGTACGCAATATCGGAGAAGAAGAGGGGGTCTGCAAATAGCGTTTTTGAGATAAGGGGGCAGTAGGTCAATTATAAAAGTATAAAGACAATAAATTAAAAAAAATATCATAAAATGTTAGGTTGGTATGTTGAAAGCGCAGATACTTTAAGGGGAGGTAGAAGGTACTCAAAAAAGCGTATGGCAAAATGCAGGGGGGGGGGGTTGTCCAAAAAAAGCGTATGTACTTTATGGACGACCCCTTAAATTGATACCAGGAGGCATGTCTGTTAGAATTTGTGAATTTAAAATCTGTATGTCCTTTACAGCCGAACGATATATCATGTTGTCAGTTTTTAGAGTGGTAATTCCTGGTCTTCCACAGGTTCTTTCTGGATTGATGCCATCTATTGACTTGATGCACTTAATCTTATAATGAGCAGTTCAGATATGCTTTCTTCAGATAAAAGTTATACTTATGCACATATAGCAAGTGTTGTTGTAGTTATGCTGAGATATATAATGGTTGAACATGATTTTAATGTATATACGATATTTTCTTCTTGGTTGACAATTATGCAATCACCTACAAGTCTTCCCAGGAAATGTGTGCGGTTTTTAGTCTTGTACGTCCACAAAAATATTTTTAATTTAGACAAAATGATCATGGCTGTTTGCAAGTTTTGTTGTATTTAGCATTTCTATACTTTGCAGAAAAAACTAAGTTTCAAAAACAAAGAAAGCAAAACTAACAAATATAATAAATTTAATTAGAAAAAAACAAAAAAAATTGATTATTTAAATAATTTGTTTGCCATTTTTATTTTCGTTTCTTTAGGGTGTTATTTTTGAAATTATATACAAGGCAAAGAAAAAAAAAGAGCTTTAAGTCAACATTAAAAAGACTTTATTTGTTTTTTAAAGAGGAAAGCAAAAATATAACTGCAATCTGATTGTAAAATATGTTTGTATAATTTTAATGTAACAAGTTCCTTTTGTCAAAAGTCATTAATACAAATTTAAAAATATAAAATATTTGGTTTCATTAACTAACCCAAGCACAATAGCCTTTACTGTTTTGTTTAATCAGTCATTATATATATATATATATATATATATATATATATATATATATATATATATATATATATATATATATATATATATATATATATATATATATATATATACTTATAATGTAGTTGAAAGAGACTTTTATGGTAAAAAAAGTCTCTTTCGGCTACAATTTTTTTACCTTGTCTCTTGGGCTGCATTTTATTGTCATCAAAATGTCAAAGCAATTAAATTTATTCGGAAGTACATTAAATTTTAAAATGTTTTTTAAAAAAACTGCAATAATAATGACTAGAAAGTTTTTTTTAATTAGTGGTGTTTTTGTTTTTGTTTTATTAAAAAATATTTTTAAAACATGCTTAAGTGTTGCTACATTGACTATCTTATAGCCTGCTGCTACAAGGGAGTGTTGCTACATCGACTATCTTATAGCCAGACTTGCAATGGAGTACTGCTACATCGACTGAGCAATAACCTTACTCGCAAGGGAGTGCTGCTACATCGACTGAGGGTTTGGTTTGGGCAGGCAGTCTATCATTTTAAAAAAAAAAAATTTTTTTGAAGTTTTTCAACATTTTCCGGTCAGGCTTATTAACGCGCTCTTTAAAACAACAGTTTATGGGAAAAACTTTGTGACTACCATGCAAGACTATATATATATATACAGGCCTTGCGATAAAGTGTCGGGCGATGTGGATTTTACGTCGTCCAAGAGCGATTTTGCGTGTAGCTAGGGCTATTTGCGTCAAGCAAAAAAAATTTTGTTTGAGCATATTTAAAGATATTTTTGAGTGGAATTTTAATGAAATAATTTACGATTATTTTAACATTTAATAAAGTATTTAAAACCGCATGTAGTTGATATAAAAGTTTGAATTACAAAAAAATTAAACATGCTCATTATTTACAAGTAGAAAAAATTCAGATTAAAAAAAAAGTTTAAATTTTTTTTAAGCTAACATTTTAATAAAATTATTCAGCAATAGCAAAGTTGTCGATAAAATTGAACAAAAATACTTTCTTTTAGTTTTAGATTTTCAACTTAAATAATTATTTTACGGGGGTTTGTTAGGTTTTTAAATTATTCCATAGATTTAAAAATATTTATTAACTGTTAGACGTATTTAAAGTATTTAAGAGTAATTTTGTAGAAACATTTAAAAAATTGGTAAGCGCAAATTAAAAAAATAAAAGTATTAATATTAAAAGGTATTCTACTTGATTCAATAAAAAAGTACAGTTATTAAAATTTTTGTAAAAAGTAACTCAAAAAAAATATCTTAAATAATAACAATCGCTTTTTTGTTAAAAGTTACCGAAACTCAATGAAGCGTGCTCAAGAACAGCTGCTTAAAAATAGAACGTCAATAGTTTTTCGAATAATTTTTAAGAATAATTTTTTTCGCTGAAATATGTCTTTTATACCTATAAGATTTTTATTCGAACATTTTATTTTATTTTACCAAAAATAAAATTCCTTGTAAACATTAAAAATCTATTCAAAACGTTTGTTAAAGTTTTTTAGTAATACGAGTGATTGTGCTTATCAACCGCTTTATGAAAATAAATAAAAATAAATAAATAAAAAAATAGTATATAAAGTCGCTACTAAAAATATTAGCTATTGCATAGTTTTTAATCGTACAATATTAAAATTTCCAGTTTATTACTCGCTGACTTTTTAAAAAGAAAAAATAATTATTTGAAAAACTTTAAATTACATATTTGAGAAAATCAAATATTAGCATATTTTTAAATGTTTTGTTATAATATTTTTTATTCGTTTATAAAATTTTTAAATAATAACATTTCTACATTAATGATTTAAAGTAGTTTTGCGGTAATTAAGTAAATTGGTGCAGTTAATGTCGATAAATATGAAAAGCAAATAAAAAGAATTTAATGACGTCAAAAATCACGTCGTGCTTATGCGTCGCGCAGTTTTTATTCATCACAAGGCCTGTATATATATATATATATGTATATATATATATATATATATATATATATATATATATATATATATATATATATATATATATATATATATATATATATATATATGTAGTTTAACTATGGTATGCACTACTTGAAAACCAAAGTAAACAAATTTTTTTCTTTTTCTTGGAATTAGTTATTAATAAGTTCACTATTTAAAAAGTATAGATTTGCTAATGAATTTTTTTTTATTAGCCTTTAAGCTTAAATATTCAACTTTAAATTCAAAATTCCTAGTTTTTTTCTTGTAGCCAGAGAGTTTATTCATTGTATTGCGGAAACAATAAAGGAGAAGATAGCTGATATTATTTATAACATGAAATGGGAGCCAGGCTAGGAAAACCAGGAGCAAAAATGAGGCTAAATTAGTTCGAGTTAAAAATGCTGGTGTGCTGTGTTTTTTTTTTTGTAGCACTATTCCATTTGGCAGATTTTGGAGGTGTTGATGCTGATTTCTTAAAATTTGCATTGGACAGTGTTTTCATCGAAAACCCATACATGTAAATTTAAAATTCCATAATCAACTGCAAATTATTGTAAAAAATGGATATCGGTGACAGCTGACGGAGCAAATGCTAATAAGAGTATATATGGTGCACTGACTCAATTAAAAATAACATACCCTTGGTTAGTTAAACTACATTGTGTCAACCACAGATTAGAACTCGCAATAAGAGATGCAATAAATCAATTTAGAGACTTTAAAATATGCAATAGTTTTTATACAAGTCTCTATTACCTTTTAAAAAATTCTGGAAGACTGAAGGAGGCCTGTAAACATGCTGCTGCTGCCTTATCAATTCAATACTACATGATTAACAAAATTCATGGTATCTCAATTTGTATCGCATAGTGTAAAGGGTTACACAAACTAAACACATAAATGGCCATCTTATTTAGTTGCCTTACAAAATGTACTTGCAAGTAAAGACGGTTACCAAAATGAAAACACCGGCAAAAGTGGATGGGCTGTTCAGGAAATAAAAAAGTTTTGATGTCTCGGGCAAAATTGGTGCATATCTAGATTTGCTTAATGCAATGAGTCCTTTGGCATCATTTTTCAAAAGAAATGAGTTGTTGGCTTTTGAAGTTTATCCGCAAATTAAATTTACGATAAGTCAGTTAATTTCATTAACTTTAGAGAGTGCTGATGAGACATATATCAGCTTCATGCAAAAGTTCAATATAAAAGAAGATAATGTTACCACTGAATCAGATTATGTAATCGCTGGAGACTAAAAAAAGAAAATAGAAAATGCTTTGACATCAAAGTTGATGGGATGGTCAACTCAAAACATGAAGATGTCGAAAGAGTATTTAAACTACAAAAAGAATGCATAAACATTATAATTCCATTACTTGAAAAGCGATTTGCTTCATTTAAAGATGACCAAGTGTTTGTGTCAATGACATGGATCGATCCTAAATATTGATCAGACAATCAAGATAATGGTTTAAAAAAAAAAAAATACCTTATACAACATTTTCGTGAACCACTTAAGGAAGCAAACTTCAAAGAAGTAATGTTTTTAAATGAGTGGATATCAATACAAACAATAGTAAGAGCATTTCATTTAAAGTGTACATGTTGAGCGAAAAATTATTTAAATACAAAAAATCAGAATTTCCAAATACGTTTCTATTATCTAAGTTGTGCTTGTGTTTGTCTTCCTCTAATAGTATAGTAGAAAGATTTTTTAGAATGCTGACTACAATCTTTACTGATCAATGACTTAGCATAATACAATGTAACAGTGCATGATTATTGCTGGCAATAGCCATATATGGATGGAGAACGGCTCAAGTGAAATATTAAAAAAATTGGTAAAAAAATATTTGAAAAAGCGCATAATTATTAAATGTCAAGAAACTCATATATTCACATCACCAAGAATCAGAAAAATATTATATGACCTATAGCAATTAAAAGCGAAATCACTTCATCCGAAAAAGAACTTTCAAGTTTAAAAAAACAATTTGGAGCAATTAATGATGGTGGCAGCTCTTCCAGTGATGGAAGTGCATTGTTTTTAGATGAACACAAAGGAGAATACACTAATAACGACATTTGCTCCAATTATGGCAATGGATAATACCAAACTTTTTAGATATCAAGTATTAATGACTTTTTATTATTTTGCAAAATATTCTTGTTACATTAAAAAATATATATATATTTTACAAAAAAATAGTAATTTATTTTTAAGTTGCTATATGTATTGAAAAAAATTCTTTTTTGCAATACATATATTATTTTGAAAAAGTATTTTTTTTTAATACTAATTGATAAAAGTCTTGAATAACTTGTGTATTCTTTTTAATGTTGTTAAATTTGTGTGATTTAAAACTGTTATTATTATTTTTTTCTTGTATCCATTTCAAAAATAAAAACAGTACACAAATTATTTAAATTGTAAATTATTTATTTATTTTTTTAATTTAAATTTAATTTAATTTCTTATTTTGTTAGTTTTTCTTTTTTTGTTTTTGTATTTTAGTTTTTTCCACAAAGTATAGTATAATATAAACTTTTAATATAAATGCTTAATAAACGTATGATATATTCGCTAATACAAATGCGTAAGATATAGTATAAATGCTTAATATAATAAAACATGCAAATGGTTGTGATCAAGTTGTCTAAATTAAAATTGTTTTCATGGGCTTACAAGACAAAAAACTGCACCTGTTTCCTGTGAAGGCTTGATCTTGCAATGGGTGATTGTTTAGTGTATGCTAGCTTGCATATTTTGTATTAATAATTTTCATTTTCACGTGATGTGTTTATGCATTAACTAATATACGTGTGTGTATGTGTGCGTCCTTGTGTGTAATGATGCGTGCGTGCTTTGTATATAATATGATATAATATAATTTTTTGATTGTGAAATTGCCTTGAACCTGTTTTTTTGACAACATTTTGGTTAAAATCTTGCAAAGGTGTTCACTAAAACTTATATATATAATAAAACATCTATGAAAAATCTTGATATTATTTAATTGTTTATTCAAACCTTGTTTTGGACTAGCTAAAAATTGGCATTTAATTTCATGTCATTTCATGTCATTCTTCAAAACAAATAGCTTCTCAACAAAGTATTTTTATGTACATGATGCCATTAAAAATACTCAGTTCTTTGATCAGACCATTGTTTGCAAGTCTTTCATCATATTTTTGCTCACCTTGGTTTTAAAAGCCTACTTTTTCTGTCAAATAAATAGGTTTTATCAAATCCTGATTTGTTAAGAATAATATTTGAAATATTTTATCTCCTATTAGCAAGATGTAGCAAGCTAAGCTTTTAATAAAAATTTTCTCTCTTATCTTTCTTTATTCTGTGTTTTAGGGTTTTTGTGTTTTTAATTCTTTATTCTGTGTTTCTGTGTTAAGTTATCAAATCCTCTTTCTCCAATCACTATATAAAACTTTCAATCATTAAATCTAAAAATTGTTTTCCCACTTAACTAGATGGTATGGATCTTTAAAATCAAAAAAATTAAAAAGTTGTTGCTAAATCCCCCCCCCCCCCCCGCTCCTTCTCTATCTTACTTCCTAGATGGCAAAATTAAAAAAACTCACCCTCCCCCATCCTTATTAGATGGTCTGGATCTGCTCCTGTATGTAGCTTTATTATGTGGTTTAACCAAAACATTTATATTTTAAAAAATATAAGTACGTAAGAAGTAACTACAACAGGAGTATCTCCATACATGTTTTTATATTTAAAAAATATACATATATATGTTAAAGTATAAATAAACAAAATAGTTGCCCTATTTTGTTTATTTATACTTTTAGTGTTTAAATTTTTATTATTTTGGTTACTTTATTATTTTTCCTTAACATTTTCAAGGGTAAATGACTGCATTTTAAGTGTTAATAACAAAGACATGACGAATGTTGAGTATCAAACAGCATACGATGCTATTAATGGAAGTAATAAACTCACTATTGTATGTTTAACTTTTTTTTTTTGATTAATTAGTACCTAAGAAACTTGCAACTTACTATGAAATGATTTAGAAAATGGTCTTTTGAATTTGTAGACTATATTGAGGCACACCCGCTTAGGTATCAGGACACCACTTCATAGAGTGGAACTGAAAAGTAAAGATGAAAGTAATATGTCAATCTCTTATAAATATATATATATATTTTTACTTATAATATATTTTAGATTAATTTTTTTTTGTTTGTGTTTTTTATTTAAAGTTTTAAGATTATTATTTTAAATTTAGATATTGGTTTAAGCATTGACAGTGGTCTTCATATAAACAGAATTGAACCTGGGAGTGCTGCAGCAAAAGAAGAAACTCTCTCTATTGGGGACAAAATTTTGTTTGTAAGTTGTTACTTGGTATTATAACAAAATGCCAATAATCTAAATGGATTTTTATCTGTTCAAAGTAATTTTAATTCTTTATAAAAACATATAGATAGAAGAGAGACAGTTTTGAGCAGATGTAGTTGCCCCTGTACACATAGATGTGCTTTTAATCAATTTTAAATCTGCTAGTTTTTTCATTATAAAAAGAAAAATGAACATAATTTTATTTGTTTTCTGTTTGTAGTAAGTCTTTACATCTTGATTGTATCTATATTGAAAAAGACTATCTATTTGTATGACGTGTTCCACAGCCGAAAATGTTAAAGTAGTCAATTTCCAATCTCTTTTTGTCAATCTTTAAGAGATGAGTATTGAAGTAAACAAATGAAAGTTTATTAAAAGTATATTTTTAATAATTAAGTTATTTAAGTTGTTTTAATGATTTTATTTAAGTTGTTTTAATGATTCAGAAAGTCATTACAATTTTCATGTAACCTAAGTTTTATTTTTCTAACAGTATCATCATAAAACTGAAATTGTGTTAATATGTGTATATTGATATTAAATCTTATGCTTTATTTTTAAAACTCTAAATAAAGATGCTTAGTTAAAACACTTTTTAATTTTAAATTTTTGTAAGTTAAAAATAAGTCAATTTATCTAAAATTAATATTTAAAATTTTCTTACTACTACCGTGGCCTACTATATTACACGGCCGTGTATGTTACATTTAAGAGGCCGATTCTAAGAGGCCTATTATTAAAAAAGATGGCTACGCAACTATAGAGAAAACATATAACTATATCTCGTCTAGACTAAATAGATAGTATAAATATAATATTACGAGTAGGAATATTATTAATAAAAAAGTATTCACGAAAAACTGGCATTTTTTGCTTTAATACTAGCGATTTATGAATTTATAAACATATATATCTATGTATATTATATATATATATATATATATATATATATATATATATATATATATATATATATATATATATATATATATATATATATATATATATTTGTATCTATAATATATATTTTTATATATTTGTACATTCCACAATTAAATTGACAACACTGGGAATTTACAAAAAAAAAAGGTTTAACTTGTGTGTTTTTTTATGTTATTATCTATTTATGTTTTGTTTTTTTCTCCTATTTTTTAAAGAATTATTTTTCACTGTCTACTTTTAAAACTTTTAACAGCATCTTTTCGTACAGTGGCATTGATTATCTTCTGCTTATTGTTAAAAAAGTCATTAATTATAATTTTAGTAGCAAATTTAGATTCTCATTCTTTGTGTAAATCGCAAGTAAAGCAAACTGTTGGAAAGTATTTTGATAAAACGAAGCTTGATACATCTTTGACATTAGCACCTTGTTTAGTTATTAAATTTGAAAGAATATCTGAGACTGCAAAACATCCACATGTGAATTCCTAAGTGAAAGTGAAGGCACAGTAAGACCACCTCGTGAAAGTATTAGTAGATATGGGCAAATATTTATATTGCTTGCATCTATAGCAAGCGTAGACTTACAATCGCTACATTTGCTTCTTTTTATTAATTTCTTTGCAATATTACCAGCAATTCTTGTGGTAACTTCTTCTGTTTCAGGTGATAGAGTTAATTCTGTTATCTCATTTGAATTTAAATCTAATGTTATAAGTAATTCATCATTAATTGGATTATCATAATTGTTCTTTATATCTTCATCCCAAAAATTTTCATTCTCCCTAATTAAAGTCCGACATGCTAAAATAATCTCTGAATGTTGAACTTCTAGTAAGCTTACTAGAAATCTCCCACCACTCATCTGTCGATATTGAAAAAATCTACGCTCTATAGGGTCACTTTGAAGTCGTGAAGTAAGCACATACAAATATCCTTCTTCTTTAAGCTCGTCTTTAAGCATTGCTTGAGAATGCAGAGTAGTGATAAGAGCAGATGATGTTTGTTTAGATAAGGCAAAAAATGGAGATTTCTCCAAAGTTCAATCCTATCAGCTAATTGCCTAAAAAATGTAGTTTTACCATCATCAAAAATAATTGCATTACCAAGTTTATTTGGACTAAATTGTTGCTTTGAATTTGAAACAGTCCACCATTTTTGAAAAATACTTAAAAAACCAGAAATGTCATTTGCAGAACTTGCAATTGTTGTTTCATCAAAAATCAACAGTGCAAGAGAAACATTTTGCTTTTTTTTATTACTAGCGTGAAGAGTTTGATATGTAATTTTTGGAGCTTTTTTAAAATTACCTTGAAGTTGTTCATGTAGAAATTTAGAATGTAGAAGATAAAAATCTCCCCAAGTTATATAACCAGCTGGACAAGTTATATAACCAGCTGGACAAGTTATATAACCAGCTGGACAAGTTATATAACCAGCTGGACAAGTTATATAACCAGCTGGACAATTATAGACATCATCTTTTATATTATTAGTAAATGGTGAAAAGTCAAATTTTTTGCAGTGTAATAAATTATTTCTGATATTTTTAACATAACATAATAATATTAACACTATCATAAAATAAGTACATTTTATTATCTGGACTATCAGGATGATAAATAAATAAATTTGACTGATAACCAAATTTTAAATGAAGCAAATTAAATGCATTTACATTTGCTTGATGAATGTCAGTAACAACTCCTCGAATTTTAAAACCAGATAAAGAAAGAGAACTAATTGAATCTGATATTTGCTCTGAAAGCCATTTACCACTAATGGTAACTTCGGCTACTGCTTTTATGACATAAGGAATAGATTTCTTTAAACAACTCCTTTGTATAGAGTACCATTGTCATCTGCACCCACATAGACACCACTACAATATTGTACCTGTTTCTGAAGATAAAACTCATCTACAATTAGTATTATATCTTCATGTATTGAACCCTTCTCACGAAGTGTCTTAACAGCCTTTATTGCATCAACTCCACCTTGTTTAATTTTATTTAATAAAGAAATTGAAGGTAATGGAAATGATTCAAGTAAAGTTTCATATGCTTGTTTAGATGTATATCTTAATAATAAAGCGTGTCTGATCATATCTGCAGAATATTGTGGTTGACCTTTTTTTCTATTAGAAGAAGCTGTTTTTTATGTACGATGCAAGATTTTCTAACATACTCAAACTAGTTAACTTGCCATTATGACCTTTAGTTAACCATGGAGGGAGTGGAACATTATTTCCTTTGTATTGCAAAGCTACACATAAACAATGATCAATTTTTATTGATTCAAGAACAGAAGGAAAATATGTTAAAGGATCAAATATTAAATTGTAATAAATAACACAATTGAGATGTTTTTTAAATTGAAAACCTTCTGGTGAATGTTTACTGTTTAACTTGCTCCATTCAGTTATTTTATCATTTTCAGAAAAAAAACTAAGTTCATCTTCTTGAAAAATATGAGTTTTAGGTGGTCTTCTTAAAGCAATAGGTGATGGCAGTGTGGAAGGCCGTTTTAAGCATTCACCTGAGAAAATTTTAGGAATAGGGTTTAAATTCCAATTTAACTTGCTTTTTACACCTCGAATAATGTACTTTTCATTAAAATGCTTTTCACATAAGACAGAATTTGGTTAAGGCACCCAATCACTACGGTTTACAAAATGAACCCAATAATTTAGCAACTGTTGATTTTTCAACGGAAAATGAAAAGAAGTAACTTTTATATCTTCCAAAGAACTGTTTTATCCAGTTTTACAACCATATGCAACACACTTATTAACCATAATATTCAGCTTTGCTAATATTAATAAATTATCTAAAATAGCATTATATATATATATATATATATATATATATATATATATATATATATATATATATATATATATATATATATATATATATATATATATATATATATATATATATTAGGGTGGTCCTTATAGGAGGTTGAAAATTTATTTTGGAAAAAATTTGGCGGGCGCCCCTCAAAATGTTTCCATTCGGTGTAAAAACACTTGCTTTTAATTATTGTTGAATTTTATTAACATTTAGGGTACGCTCAATTCAAACAAACTTTCGCATATAGCAGTCACTCAGTCTCAGTGTTCAACGCAGTAAAGTGACATGAATGTTTTTCAAATGTAAGATATTTGTATAACATAATGTTCTGAAAGCAACTCACTTAGTCATCTTCCAAACTAAATTATGTCTTCAGGCTTTCCACAACTGCTACTTTGCTTATTTCTGGTAACTTCTTTCTATGCTCAGCCACTACTTGAAGGATGAATTGCGTCTGCTCTTCAGATTTTGTCCGGAGTCCGCTATACTCCTGAATGAGGGCGACACCTCGCTCTGCAGTGTCGTTAGTAACTCGAAGTTTACCAACAAATGTCTGTGCTTCAGTAAAGGCAGGCAGATCACGCCAGATGGCAGGATCTTCATCGAAGAAGCTGGTTGAAATGTTCAGAGCACTAAAGAACTTCTTTGTATTTGTTGTCACGAAGTCAGGTATCTCCTTTTCTCTTATATCTTGGTCTAATAGAGAGATGCGTTTGGCTGGTTCTTGTACTCCAGGGTTGTCCAACGCCTTGACCATCTTTCTCTTGTCTTCAACAGAAATAGAATCGTCAAAAAAAGAAAAGCCTACGAGTACTTCCGACAATTACCAAAGGTGTCCTTTTAACTTCTTCAAGGCAGCAAGCGACGTACAGTTTCCAGAAGCCAACAATTCCTTACAGAGCAGAAGGTCGTTCTTTGGAGCTGAGATTCCAAGACGAGAAGAAAACCAGCCTCTTATGTAGAACTTCACTGCAAACACACAGAGATCCTTGAGTCCATTGAGCTCACAGTCAGTAAGATGAAATCCACTGTTTCTGAAGATAAATATCTTCATGCTGTAAATGAGACGTGACATGAATCTGGCTCTGTGCATCGCTCCTGGTTTCATGAATCTGACACCTCTCGGAGGAACGCCTCCCAAGAAAATAATTGTTATTTCAAGGAGCTCTCTGTAATCGTCTCTGGGGTGTTCCGTGT